TGTGTCTGTCTGTCTCTCTCTCTCTTTGTGCCTTTTTGTCAGTCTGTCTCTCTGTCTTTCTTTGTCAGTCTGTCTCTCTGTCTTTCTCTGTCTCAGTCTGTCTCTCTGTCTCTTTGTCTCTCTCTGTGTCTGTCTGTCTCTCTCTCTCTTTGTGCCTTTTTGTCAGTCTGTCTCTCTGTCTTTCTTTGTCAGTCTGTCTCTCTGTCTTTCTCTGTCTCAGTCTGTCTCTTTGTCTCTCTCTCTGTCTGTCGTCTGTCTCTCTCTCTCTCTGTCTGTCTGTCTGTCTGTCTGTCTGTCTGTCTGTCTCTCTCTCTCTCTCTCTCTCTCTCTCTCTCTCTCTCTCTCTCTCTCTCTCTCTCTCTCTCTCTCTCTCTCCTCTCTCTCTCTCTCTCTCCCTCCCCTCCCTCCCCCTCCCTCCCCCTCCCTCCCTCCCTCCCTCCCTCCCCCTCCCCTCCCTCCCCCCCCTCCCCCATCCTCCCCTCCCTCCCTCCCTCCTCCCTCCCTCCCTCCCTCCCTCCCTCCCTCTCTCCCTCTCTCTCTCTCTCTCTCTCTCTCTCTCTCTCTCTCTCTCTCTCTCTCTCTCTCTCTCTCTCTTCTCTCTCTCTCTCTCTCCTCTCTCTCTCTCTCCCTCTCCCTCTCCCTCTCCCCTCCATCTCCCTCTCCCTCTCCCTCTCCTCCCTCCCTCTCTCCCTCTCTCTCTCTCTCTCTCTCTCTTCTCTCTCTCTCTCTCTCTCTCTCTCTCTCCTCTCCTCTCCTCTCCTTCTCCTCTCCTCTCCTCTCCTCTCCTCTCCTCTCCTCTCCTCTCCTCTCCTCTCCTCTCCCTCTCCTCTCCTCTCCTCTCTCCCCTCCCCCTCCCCTCCCCTTCCCCTCTCCCCTTCCCTTCCCCTTCCCCTCCCCTTCCCCTTCCCCTTCCCCTTCCCCTTCCCCTTCCCTTCCCTTAGGGGACAGTTGAAGGTGAACTGGTGCGATGAATATATTTTTAAGCCCAGATAAAGGTTTACCTTTGTTCGTTTTAGTCTACGTATGTTCTCTATATCTCCCCAAGTGAGTGAGTATGTGAGAGGGTTCTAGTGTGGGTCCCCCTCGGTGGTGGTTTGGGAAACGCACGATCTGGGCTAACTTGTTTTCTTTTAGTGTGGACGGAGGTTGAAGAAGGCTTGTGTTGGCGCGCAGAGCAGAGGTTGACCCGGCGTGGCGGGGGACCTGGAGTGGAGGCCTCCGTAGGAACCGTTTTCATGGGTCAAGATGAAGATTTGAGGTCGTGAGCAAAGGGGATGTGACTAGGTCAGCATGTCAATTTTTTAGTCACTCCTGTTAGTTGAAGGGTGGGACCTTGGAGGCGTCTGACAACTCAGAGAGTGAGTGAGTAAGTAAGCGAGTACGTGAGTATGTATGTGAGAATGTTGTGTGGGTGGATGAATAGGTGAATAAGTGAGTGAGCTAGTGGGTGAGTGAGTGATTGAGTGAATGAGTGAATGAGTGAGAGGGTGGATGGAAGATGAGTGACAGTTGGATAGTGAATGAACGAATAAAATCGAGATCAAGGACCAGATAGGGACAAAATGAGTGCGTTAGATACACTGTGTGTGTATTTGTATGCATGCATGAATGTGTGTGTGCGTATGTATGTGAGTGTGTATTTATGTATGTATGTGTGTGTGTTTGTATGTATGTATGTATGTATGTATGTATTTATGTATTTATGCACGTTTATATGTTAAAGACATGATATTCTTTCGGCGCTCCTGTTGGTGATGACCCGCCCCCCTACCAGTCAGCTGATGACCATACAATTCGAAGACAAACAAAGGAAGGGGTTCACGAGTATGATAGGAAGTAAAGACAAGCCTCTATTGACCATGCCATCATGCCATGTCCACTGACTTGACAAAAAAAAACATGGCAGCCATTAGAGTGATGCGCAGAGATCGAGGGAAATGAACACCACCATCATATAGAGCGTAAGAAGTAGAGTAAGGGTAATCACAGTTGGAGAGTGAATGAGCGAGTAAAATCGATGTCATTCCCACTAACCTTTCCTACCTTGTCCGCTGTCAGCATTCCAACATTCCTGACACTCGTTCGTCGGCTGCTCTCGCTCTCATGGGAGTGAATGCCAAGGGAGAGCATTGGCATTGTCGATGTCATCAGTGTTTTGTCCGTAATGATAAGGATTTTGATGTTGGTGGTTATGGTGATGCTTATGGTGATAATTATAGTAATGTAAAGGACAATAATTGTTATCATGGCTATATATATTGTGATTATTATTGTTAGTAGTATTGTTATTATTATTTTTATTGTTATCATCATCATCATTATCATTATCATTATCATTATCATCATCATCATCATCATCATCATCATCATCGTATATGCCTTAACATTAACATCAACATCATCAACATTATCATCATCATCATCATTACTGCCAACATCACCATCAACATCATCAACAACAACATCAACATCATTAACAACATCAATATCATCATCAACAACAACATCATCATCATTATCATCATCATCAACATTACCGCCAACATCACCATCATCATCAACATCATCACCATCATCAACATTACCACCAACATCACCATCATCATGAACATCATCATCATCATCATGAACATCATCATCATCATCATGAACATCACCATCATCATCATGAACATCACCATCATCATCATGAACATCATCAACATCAACATAAGCATCATCATGAACATCATCATCATGAACATCAACATCACCATCAACAGCATCACCATCATCATTATCGTTACCGCCAACATCACCATCACCATCACCATCACCATAATCATCATCATCACCATCATCATCATCAAAATCACCATCAAAATCAACATCATCATCATCAACATCATCATCAACATCATTGTCATCACCACCACCATCATTATCATCATCGTATTTGCCTTTGTTTTTATTTTTGTCTTTCTTATCGTTTTCAACATTGTAGTAGATCGTATCATTATTTTGCGTCCAATCCTCACTCCCCTCCTCGCCACGCTGCTGCCGTCCCCTTGCCAAGATCGAATCGCCTGCAAGACGCCCAGGAGACGAGGAAGAAGGAAGAGGAATGTGGAGGTGTAGTTTGGGGGGGGGTGGTAGTGGTGGAGGGGGAGGGGGAGGTAGAGGTAGGGGTAGGGGTGGAGGGTGGAGGTGGAGGTTGGAGGTGAAGAGAAAGAAGGAGAATTGAAGGAATAAAAAGATATATAAAAAAGACAAAAGAATATGATGAATATTATAAAGATCAGAGAGAAAAGTAGAAAAGATGATAATAAAAGAAGACAAAAAAAAAAAAAAAATGGAGATGATGAAAAAAGGCGATGACGACAAAGACAAATAAAACACGAAGACGAACAACAGCACCACCACCACCAGCAACATCAACATCATCATCATCATCATCATCATCATCATC